ATAGTACAAAAAGAGGAAGGGTCCATCTGGGATATGTTGGCTATTGCAAAGTACTTGTTCTTTAACCTGGTTAAACCAAGCTTTTATTTTTTTTGGTTTCCAAACGATGTCCGGTACCCACATTAAAACCCGACTATATTCGAATTCGCGCCGTGTAGAGCCCCATTCGGGGGAAGCGCTCCCTACCAAGGACTTTTCCATACCCAGGACTCGAACTCGAGACCTCTGGTTAAGGGAGGAGCAGTCTCATCCACTGCACCACATCTTTTGGTGGTTAAACCAAGCTACTATCTAAAGAGTTTTTACAACCAAATTAACCATAGTAAAAAAGTTGACAAAATAATTTAATAATTTTTTCGGTAAATAATTGATAACCTGGAAAAGAGAAGTTACAGAAATAAGGTAACATATATAGTAACTTAAGTGCACTAAATTTCAAGTAAAAAAACAATATCATATAATATAATTTTAGTATATGATTTGCGAAGGTAATTCCAGAAAACTTTTATAAATTTGCTAGTACAAATACAGAAGCGTAATTTGATGTTTGAAAATGTTCATCTTTTTGCTGAGTGAAATAAGGCTCCGTTTGTCCATAAAAAAATTCATTTTTTTCAAAAAAAAGAATTCAAAAATGTGTTTGTCCATAAAATTTTGCAAGTTTTGGAAATTATTTGAAAATGAGTTACTCAAAAATCAAGTGGTCAAAACCACTTTTTTATAATTTTCAAAAAAAAAAACTTTTTTCCCTACTCACAAAACTACAACACTTTTTCAAGTGAAATGCATGTCCAAACATAATTTCAAATTTCAAATATTATTTTTCAACTTAATATAATATTATTTTTTTTATAATTATTATTTTATGTCCAAACGCCTACTAAGTGGGCATTTGGACATAAGAATTGTAAAATTCCAAAAAAAAAGTGAAAAAAAATTTCAAGTGAAAATGATATTTGAAAATTAGAGTTGTGTTTGGACATGAATATAATTTTGGGTTGTTTTTGAAGTTTTGTGAATGATCTGAGTGAAAGTTTTGAAAAACAGCTTTTTGGAGTTTTTCAAATTTTCGCAAAATTCCAAAATGCATCTTCAAGTGAAAATTGAAAATTTTATGAACAAACGTTAATTTCGAAAAAAAAGGAAAATTTTTCTTATGTCCAAACGGGCTCTAAAACTTCTAACAAAAGAGGGTGAAATAAATAAAGAAGAATTAACCCAAATAGCCGTCAACCCAATTACTTAAACTAAAAAAGTCAGTTGAGGCATAATATATGTGTAATTTATGTATTATATGTGTATAATTGTATATAATCAGTGTATTTAACTAGATAAAATAAACGGAAAAGGGCCTAAAATGCCCCTCAACTATCGAATTTGGTCTAAAATTGCCCCCCATCCACCTTTTGAGCTAAAAAAACCCTTCTCGTTAATGTTTGGGCTCACAAATGCCCTTCTTACTAACGGCCCAGATCAGATTTTTAATTTAAGTGACGTGTCATTAAATTATTGGCTAATTTAAAATCCACCCATATTATGTCCAACCCACCCATACCCGACCCATCACCCAAAATCGGTCCATATTTCTAAACCCAAAAATCCCTCTCATCAAAATAACGACTGACTCCTCCTCCTCTCTAAATTAGGGTTCCCCCAATTCTTGCTGCTCCTCGTAAATCATATGGCTGCTATTTGCTATTTCTCTTCCAAGATTCAAGTTGAAGATCAAATATAAAATCCTATCTTTGTTCAAGTAAGTTTTGAATGTTTTTGTTGAATAAACATGGTTAGGGTTATTAGAAATCTTTCATCTAGTGTTACTTTCGAGTTGTGGGGAATGTTTACTGCCTTTTGATGCTTTTGATGTCAATATTTATCAATTTTGAGGTTGCATATGGTCCCCCTTCACTTTTTGTTTTCTGTTTTTAAATTATTATTTTTTATGGATGATAGCAATTTAGGGTTCAGATGGGGCCTTGTTGTCTGCTCAAATAGTTATTTATTCTAAGTTTTTGTGTTTATTTTTTCATTTATAGTTGGCTGTGGTCCATTAAACTTTATTCTTGTTTGTACTTTAGTGTATTAAATATTGATAGATTCTTTCTAACTTTTCTGTATATATATATCTGATCGGTCACTTTCTACTTTCTTTTATGGATTGCATGTGACTTCAATGAAGAATGGTTGAAAAAGTGGACTTGGTCTTGAATTACGGGGGCAGGTGGGTCTTGAACCCTCAAATAGTGTACATTAAAAAACTAACTTACGTGCTGCAAGCCTATGATGTGGATTTGCTGTCTTATATAGACATTTGTTCAGAGTACGTTGAAAAATGTGGGTTTAAGAAGGTGGAACAACTTTTGATAACAGGGCCTTCGAGTAGATACTTTCTAGTTGAAGGTGATTCAGGAATCAGAACACTGCAACAACTCTTTTCTGACAAGTTTAGTGTGCTTCAATTCTTTGCTATTGATGAGGGTGAAGAACATGTGCCAGCTCCTAGCATAAGTCAATATAATGAACCTTATAGTGTCACAGTAAATGTTGGCACCGATTGTGAGTCAAGTGAGGAAGAGGAAGCATATGAACTTCACTCTAGTAATTATGATAGTAATCAATTGGATCTCTTTAGTAAGGAAAGGACTAAATAAGTTAATGACAAACTAGACAGTTATAAAGAGTTGGAACAGGGTATGAGTTTTAAAGATTTGGATGAAGCTAAAAGAATTGTGGGGTTTTATGCAATTGCTAATAAAAAGGGCCTTAAAGTTTTTAAGAGTGACACCGGTAGAGTTAGTTATAAATGTGATGTTGGTTGTCCTTTTAGGTGCTTGATATCTAAGGATAATAAAGATCAAGGATTTAAAATTAAGTCTTTGAAAACAGAACACAATTGTCAGCCAGCATACAAGAATAGAAGAGCTACTCCCCAAGCTTTAGCGCACTATTTCAAGAACAAAGTCCAAAATAATCCTAAATATAAAGTGAAAGACATGAGGGTGGACCTAGAGGATCAATTCAATCTAAATGTTAGCTATTCAAAGATGAAGAGGGTAAAGAGGCTTGTGCTAGAGAAATTGGAGGGTAGCTTCATTGATGATTACAATAGGTTAGAGGTATATGCTCAAGAGTTGAGGGATAGTAACCCTGGTTCTGATGTGGTGATAAACATATCTAAAGATGCTTTGGCAGAAGGAAAAAGAAGGTTCCTTAGAATGTATATTTGCTTCCAAGCTTTGAAAACAGGCTGGAAAGCAGGTTTGAGACCTCTTATAGGCCTAGATGGCACATTTCTAAAAGGGAAGTGTAAGGGAATTCTACTGGTGGCCATGGCACAAGATTCAGTGAAATATTTTTATCCTTCTCTTGCATGGGCAGTAGTTGATAAAGAAACTGGTAGAACCTGGAAGTGGTTTATGGAGTTACTGAGAAATTCCTTGGAGCTTGAAGATGGTGAAGGAGTGACATTTATGTCAGATTTGCAAAAGGTAATTGTTTGTCAATTTTTTTTATCTCTTTGTTTAATTTACATTTTATTTGTAACTGATTTTTTTATTGTTGTAGGGGCTTTTGGAGGCTGTTTCTAATGTCCTTCCAAAAGCAAATCACAGATGGTGTGCTAGGAACATTGAAGCTAATTGGAGCAAAAATTGGAGGGGTATAGAGATGAAAAAGTTAATGTGGTGGTGTGCTTGGAGTACCTATGAAGAAGAGTTCAAGGATCAACTGAAGGCTCTGGGTGATGTTCATGAAGATGCAGCTAGGGAACTAATACACTACCCTCCTCAATATTGGTGTAGGGCTTATTTTGATACTAAATGCAAGAATCATATGGTTGATAATAACTTTACGGAATCATTCAATAAATGGATTCTTGAAGCTAGAAATAAACCTATAATTAAGATGTTGGAAGACATTAAATTAAAGGTAAATTTTTGTATCTTTCTTCTGTTAACTTTTTATAAATTGGTTGTTAATTTTTTCCAATGATTTCCTTTTATTGTAGGTAATGAATTTGTTGAAGAACCGTGAGGAGGAATGTAGGAATTGGAAGGAAGAAATTAGCACATATGCCATAGAGCTTTACAATGATTACAGAGTGATTGCAATAGAGTGCAAAGTTGTCTTTAATGGAGATTACGGATATGAAGTGGTTGAGGGTAAAGATAAGCATACAGTTAACCTTGAATTAAAGAAGTGTACTTGCAGGGCCTGGAATTTGACAGGAATACCATGTCCTCATGCCATCAAAGCTTTAATGCACGACAAACAAGATCCATTAAGCGAGGTGCATTGGTGGTATTCAAAGGAAGCTTATATGTTGGCATACATGCACAAGTTACAACCTGTGAGAGGTGAGAAATTTTGGAAAATTGAGCCAGAACATGCAATGGAGCCACCAGAAGTACATTAAATGGTGGGTAGATCAAAGGTAAAGAGAAAAAGAGAAAAGGATGAGGCCAGGAAGAGGGAGGGGGTCTGGTCAGCTTCAAGAAAGGAACTTATAATGACATGTGGGTTCTGTGGTACAACAGGTCACAACAGAATAAAATGCCCTTTGGTAACGATCCTTTTCACATATTTTCTTAACTTACAAATTTTTTTAATTCATAATGTCTTCTAATGAACAACTCTTGTAGGCTAATGGTGAAGGAACTTCCCAAACAGTACAAGATGTGCCCTTGACGGCACCCCAAGACAGTCAAAATTCAGAATTTGCCTTCATGCCTACTCCGGGTGTGAGAATGACCTCTCCTGAACATTCCAGTCAATTTGCTGAACTTCAAAACACACTTCAACAATCTGTTGCACCTTCAATATATAGTTATTTGTTATTACCCAAGGCTCTTGGTTGGCAAAAAGAAAAATAGGAACGAAAGGGTGGATTCTTAATAACATAGTATTACCCCACCAGATTTGTTCATGTTGGTATACTTTGTGCTCATGTTTAGCAATTTTCTGGTTGTTTAGCCAGAATGCTAATGGGAAAATCTGACTTCCCATATGCTAATGGCAATACATTGTACAGGCAATAAAGAAATATGCACATTTCCTTCATTCACCAACCAAAAGAGCTAATTAAAATAACAAAAAACTGCAGATTTCATTCATTTAACAACCAAAATAAATAGTTTAAATAACTAATATCTGCAAATTTCCATCATTGATACAACCAGGACATCATGCCTAGACCTAACCAATTCACATAAAAGAAGTACAAAAATATGTAGATCTGTTGGAATTTTTCATCAACAATCGCAAAATATTAGAGGCCACCAACTTCATTACATCATTCTGCCCGCTACAAAAATAGCAAAAAGAATCCATGACCACGTCGCAAGTCTTTTCCATCGCTTCAATTTCTGCTCCAAGTTTGAAACTTTCTCCTCTAATGATACGTTATTCACATCTGCAGCTTTACCACCAACCATATCATCCACCATCTTCCTCGAGTTGTTCCTTTCTTGACGAAGGGCATTCAACGAATGGGCCCACCGTGAGAGTGCACTTGTCAGCCAAAAACTGATAAAGCGTTGCACAATATTGATTTTTTGGACCAATCAAACTAAACTAGTTCATCTGTATTTACCAAAATGCCCTCTGGTCAGCAAACAAACGTACACGATAGCACGGCATGTATAAAATATATATTTTGTTTAAAAATACGTTTCATGTGACAACGCGTTCGGACTTCTATCAAATTACTAATAAGTGCAGGGATAATTAAAGCCAATATAAAGAACTGAATAAAATTCTAAAGGTCAGACTTTAGACAGCCCTAATTTTGTCATAAATAATGGAATATCCTTTTGGACACCACAACCACCACCACCACCGTCGCGACGACGACGGTGGAGAAGAATTTCCACCTCCCGGACGACGACCACCACCATCAGCCTACGACGAACCACCACCACCTCAAGTTACCAATGTCTATCACACTTCCCATGTAGGTGGACCACCACCGATGGAGCCCAATTATAGCCGTCCTCATTATCCCCCACCGCCACCTATGGAGGACGATTATGGACGGACTAATTATCCTCCACCGTCAATGGAGGATAGTTATGGTCGGACTAATTATCCGCCTCCGCGAATGGAGGAGAACTATGGTGGATCTTATAATCGTACACCGCCTTATTATGAGGGCCCACCACCACCGCAACCACCTAGTTATTCCTCCGTTGAACACGTGTCTCACGAGAGTGAGAGTGAGAGCGGTCATCGTCATCATGATCATCATCGTTTTCAACCACATGTGCCTTCATTCTTCCACCATGAGACCTCACCACATCCAGAGCTCATCGATAAGCCTTCATTTAGGGTTTATACAAAGGCTGATCCCAATTACTCTCTCACTATCCGTGACGGCAAAGTCGTTCTTGCCTCTTCTGATCCATCCGATCCTTTTCAAGTAGGTCCTTTTTCTTCTTCTTTTTTTGAATTTTGTTGATTGTGTGCTGTGAATATGATGTAATTTTTTCTGTGTGAATTTGTTTGCAGCACTGGTATAAAGATGAGAAGTACAGCACTAAAGTGAAGGATGAAGAGGGGTTTCCAAGCTTTGCTCTGGTTAATAAAGCTGCAGGACTGGCCATGAAGCACTCTGTTGGCGCCTCTCACCCTGTATGTTCTGTATCTTGTTAACCATAAGCGCTGAAAAATAAAATAGATATGTGTTTGTTATTGAATGAATTGTTAAACCTTGATAGCCAACCCATTACTTTATCCTGGAAAACGATATTAGAGATTTCCACCTAATACAAATGCTATGACTTGCAAATGATGCGGGTTTGGCCTGGTGGCAATTGACTTGAGCCTTGGAGTTTGCTCCCTTTCAAGGTCTCAAGTTCGAAACCCACTGGGTGCAAACAATTTCTGAGGGCCATCGGACTTGGTAAAACATGAATTAACCGTGGTGCACTTGCGGGAAACTCCTTGCCGAGGGCCTGTGCACCCCCGGATTAGTCGGGGCTCTTAGAGACTCGGACATCCGGTGCAAATCAAAAAAATAAAAAATCAGAGAAATGGATCTTTTGAGATTTTTAATGTTGACTGCAAAGGATTATTAAGTTATGTGAAGGCTCAGTTATGACTTCTTTTAGAAATACAGGATTCAAGCATGATTCAAGTATGCATTGTTTGGACACTATGGGGGTAGAGAAACCTTATATGTTCTGAAGGAAAGTTTAACCCAATATGTAGACTGAAGAGCTTCTTTTTTTAATGATGAACATGGTTTTTTGGATTTTAGGTGCCCTCTTGAAGTACGCTAACCCCTGAAAATATCTTAATTCCTGGCCTCAGTACTGTTCTGTCCATATATAAAACAGACTGATTTTATCCACAAAAAAGAGGTGGAGGGGTTTGTAAATGACAAACATAATGGTATGGATTTTAGGTGCCAAGAAGAATGGACATTTTGTCTTCTAAATCAGGAAGCACCACTTTTTGTACAAAGGCCATATCATCGCACAACGGTTTCATAAGTTTCACTATTTCTCTTTGATTTATTCATAGCATGGCTAGATAGATGAGATCTTGAACTTGCATAACTTATAGTCTGTTGGTAATGAGCATAAGCTAGAAATTAAACAAATATCTAGAAGTTAAAGCTCTATTGATATGCATTTATTATTAATTGGAATTTACTCTTTAAAAAGGAAAAAAAGGTGATGATGATTATGTGTGCATTACTTTTATCTAAAGCTATGTTGCGTGACTCCTGAAAATCCTCGCCGTGTCGACACTACATGGGTGTGAGTGTAGAATCTACACTAGATTTGGACAACTTACCGTGGGTGTTTTGACTATATCTATGACCGAGAAGTATTGATTGATCGGGTTTCTGGTTTGATTTTGTGGGTTTATGACTTTGTCATATATATTATGAAGAATTTATTAGGTGTTTATAAAGAATTTAACTTTACTATTAGTCTTTGTTCACTAACTTTAATTAATAGAAACATATAACCCTCAGGGGTTGGCCTGGTGGCAATTGACTTGAGCCTTGGAGTTTGCTCCCTTTCAAGGTCTCAAGTTCGAAACCCACGGGGTGCAAACAATTTCTGAGGGCCATCGGACTGGGTAAAACATGAATTAACCATGGTGCACTTGCGGGAAACTCCTTGCCGAGGGCCTGTGCACCCCCGGGATTAGTCGGGGCTCTTAGAGACTTGGACACCCGGTGCAAATCAAAAAAAAAAAAAAATAGAAACATATACTTATAAATGTCGTAACGTGCATATATTAGCCGTATCTAAGTACCCGTATTCGCACTCGGATCCATACCCCCAAATTCTAAAACTCATATGATGAAGAAGCCGACCGCTAGATCCCCACTCGTATATCCACACCCGAGTTCGAGCAATTAGGATCAAAATAGAACTAAAGCAGAGCAATATCGTTCCATGCTGATTCCAGTACATGGATGATTTATTCGTCCAAGTATGTATGCTGGTTCACTGCAACACCCGCAACTCTGCATCATTACACCAGTTTGACCATGTTGTTGAGAGAATAGTTGGAAGCAGTTTCATACTAGCTCTAGCTTTAGTTTATCTACTTTTTTCTCCTACAGTATCTGCACTTTCTTCAATTAAGAAATAATGTGCAATCGCTGTGAGATAAACTGAGGCTATGGGTGAAAGTAGAACTAGAGACATCGTGGCCATGTTGACTGTTGAGTTTAAGTTTTGAATTTATTAACTGCAGAAAACCTTAAAGTTGCTAAGAGGAAATTAGTGAAACATAGACGTTTGTGGCTACTATTTGTGGGATACAGTGGGTTTATTGTTGTTGTTATAGACGTTTATGGCTTGGGTTTATACAAGAAGAATTTGCACCTTAAACTTGATTCTTTGTGATGTGAATTGCTATTGTCATGTTGCCTATTTAAGTACTATATGTGATTTCAACTAATATTAGCCTTGCTCCATGCACCTTGATTGTTGCAAATGCATGAGAATGGAATTTACATATGCTTGAAGGTAATGAAATGAACACACTGATGTTCAAGGGCCCTGCCTTACTAATGTTACATGGCTTTTGACTGGGAAGGTGAAAGTTACATTCCTATTAAAATTCCTTTACAGGTGCAGCTCACCCCTTACGACCCTGATGTTCTTGATGCATCAGTCTTGTGGACAGAGAGCAGAGACGTGAGTGATGGTTATCGAGCAGTTAGGATGGTTAATAACATTCGCCTCAATCTAGATGCATGGAATGCTGATAAAGAACATGGAGGTGTCCGTGACGGGACCATTGTTGCTCTCTGGGAATGGTGGAAAGGAGACAACCGGAACCAACATTGGAAGATCGTTCCCTACTGTAAGTCTTGCAATGTCGTGCAAAAAAGTGACTTTTTTGCTTGGAAAGCCTAGAACCTGAATTCCTCTCTCTTCCTTGTCTTCAAGTTTATATTCCATTTAAAATTTAGCTATCCTCGCCCTTAAGGCCATTGATTCTTTTTTCTGTTTTTTTTTTTGCATTCTCTCACACTTAGCCTCCATGTTGTTTGATATAAATTACTTTCACGAAAACTATTTTCTCAATGAAATATATTCCTCAGCGAAATATTTCCGGTGTTTAGTAGTCTTAAGTCTATTTAAGCCTTAATCTTTAACTGGAAATTTTCTGTCCTCTTATATCTGATACTCTTTCATCAACATAGCTACCCTCCCACAGTACCTTATCACCAAGCACCCCCACCCCCTACTGTTTTGTGCAACCAAAAAACCAAAAATTATGTAGGAAAGATGTGTTCTTTATAATACATTCTCATAAACTTTATTATTACGTAGTGATTCAGTACCAAACCTATTTTAATTAAGCTAGATGTCAACAAGCAATAGGGGATGCTACCATCAGCTTTCATCCTAATAATTTTACACTTTTTATTTTTTATTTTTCATGCATTTATATTAATTAATTTTTCCCTAAATAATTTAATTGCAGGATATGTTGGCTCGTGAATGATGACTGGACGAGTTTAAATAATGGAGTTGATGCTTGGTGTTTTCTTTTATTGTGTGTGGCTTATTACGCATTTTGTATTGTATTCAATGTCCCTCCAAGAATGTAAAAGAAATTGAGAACAAGGGAAATACTATGTATTGTGTGGGAGGTGTCATGGCTATGGTATGTATGTGTTTTAACTTCTATTTTGTGCTTGGTAGTTTGTGCCTGTTTCTCTATCTTCTTTCTTATTACTAAGATATGACAAAGGATCACAACAGCCGTATGAAGTTCAAAGAAATTGTCCATGTTCCTTACTAGGGGTGGCAAATGGGCGGGTTGAAAACAGGTAATTCAAAAAACGGATAAATTATCCGACCTGATTCATATTTAATATGGATAAAAAATGAGTTATCCGGCGGATAATACGAATATCTATATTATCCATGACTTCTTGAATATGATTACTTTTTGAGAGAATTTTTAATTTCCCAAACTTGAGAAGCCTCCAATTTGAGGCTTTACAAATGTAAAAGTTAAACTCATTAGTTATTCATTGGTTATCTATTTTTTAGGTTGATACTATGGTTCTTATCCATATTCTACTCGTTTTTAAAAAGTTCATTATTCAACCCATTTTTTAATAGATAATACGGATGAATAACTATTTTCCTTTAACCATTTTGCCACCTCTATTCCTTACCCTGAATTAGCCATCCGGCATTTGGGAATGTGCTTATAGTTGCTAATACAGTTCCTTGTTTTTATGTTTTACCAATACAATGGAAAATTTTCTTACTGGGTAACCATCCTTCCAGGAGGAAAGGGTGTACTACTACTTTTGGCCATTGTTTTCTTACTATCTAGCTATTGGCGTTAAAAGCTAGTGAACAAGTGCTTTCTGAACTAGTTGAATTAGTTGCTCCCTCATAGAGATGGCAATAGTGCGGGGCGGAGAAGCTCTTATGCTGGACGGGGTGAGTTACAATATTTGTCTATTTTTGAAAATTTAAGCAGAGCAAGGTAGGTTACAGGTTAGAAAACTGAGCTCTGTGCTTCGGGTCATTCTTGATCCATGAGGGGAAGCACCATATCTGATGCTTTGTTTTTGTGCATAACCTACTGGGTCATATTTTTATAGTAAAAACTGCTTTGCTTTTATATTACGACCTTTTTCCAAATATTAAATATTTATAGTTACATTCATATTAACTCAGTTATAGTGAACCAAATGGTAACTGACTCGTTGCTCTAGGTGTATTTTTTATTAAGAAGTTAGTTCTAAGTACATGAGTAGACGCGCATGATACCTTATTGTCCAAGAGGGACATCTAAGTTTTCCTTAACTGGATTGAAATTTAAATAAAAGTACTCTAAGTAATTTAAAAAGAATTTCTTTAATAGACGATTGAGCCTTTTCCTTTCTAGATATGGAATTTTTGAAATTTCTTTTGTTGTCTTCTCTTTGTATATTAACCTCATTGACACAATGAAGACTATACGCTCAAGCTTTATTTCCCACAAAGAGTTGCTTTTAGTTTTCCTAAGAGTAAAAGAAAAAAGATAGACAACATCTCAAAGAACGTAGCCATTTTTTTTTGAAGTGTTTGACGACCAAGTACTTGCTAGGATATTTTTTTTGTTACTTACTCTAGTGTAAGCAGGAGTAGTTTGAGATTAAATAATTCATGTCAGCTATTTTACAATACTGTTCTCATAAACTAGTAGAAACCGAAGCTCCAGCTATTTTACATTGCACACATGATTCTGCATAGTGATATGAGAGCTCGTAGTTAACATGCTACTGCAGATTCCGAGAGTCAAAATTTGCAATCAATATCATTTGCATCAAATACCTATTGTCATCAATACAAGAATTCTCTCCAAATCCACCACTAATGAAATAAGCAGAGTCTCCTCGCACCTGTTTCATCGACTCACCAGAACAACACTGTTCTCATAAACTATAAACAACAAAGAATTAACAACCAAACATTGAGCTCCAGCATATCAATTGTGCTTCAATGTAGCGATCACAATAATTTCTGTGTGTTTTTGGCTCCAGATACAAATCTTGTGAAACCGCTGTGTAGGTAAAACCTGACAGCCTGCCCATATTTTGACCTTCTCCGGTCCTGGAAGGAATTCCTACTTTCCTTGCTTCCCTCAGCAGCATCTTCATTAGCTTGACTGACTCCTTTAATGTTACCTGAGCACAAGCTATCTAGTAACCAAAATGATGTTTGCAGCAACACAGCCAAAAGTACAAGATACAAGAAACTCTATCAGAACAGCTTTACTGAAGTTGCTGTCCAAAATATAATCTCACCGTACGGCATTCATTACAACCAAGAGATGAGTCACATATAGATACTATGGATTAAGGAATAACTACTTTGGTACAGTATTGAGGTTATTTAAGACAGACGCGGAAAAAAACAATAATCAAAGCAAACTAAGCAATTCATCGTGTGCTTATATACCTGACTTAGAATGTTGAGCTGAGGGCTTAAATTACCCTTGTTGCAACTATTCTCTCTAGCTTGTTTTTGCTTTAGCAGGATCACGACCGAACTGAATGACGATAGGTTTGCCTTTAAAGACATACCCATTCACCAGATTCTGCAGTCATTCACTTCTTTGTATTAAATTTTTACAAGTATCATCAGGTGTAGTATACACCTTCACATAACTCTAAGTTTAGCACCCATAATCAGCTAATTTCTAGATAGTACGGATGTGATATATATTAAAGTATATGACTGAAATGATTTCCTTTAATCTATATAACACATTTTTAGGCAACTTGAGGAAACTAACCATATACATGAATAATCTCGCATTAAATAACCATAGGAAATTTGACACAAGTTCACGATTAAATTCAGAAGGTTCCTCACCTTCTGAATAAATGTAAGATTTTGCTAGAATTAGGTTGAGAACTGTTGAGGTAGGCACTTGCACCATTAAGGTACACCAAGAACAAAACCTTAATACCAACTGCTGGAGTTGAGCAGCAAATTTTATCAGCTTAGTGAAATTTGAATAGGCTAACAGAGACGCCAACAATTTGAAAATGTCAGCATAAGTCATATTATTAAAATACATCTAATGAGACTTGCAAAATGCTAACAGTGAAAGACAAAAGATTGTCTCGTATGTGGTGCTTTCGGATTAAGAGATTTATTTTTGAAAGAGGTTCATAAAAGCCTGTAAGTGCTTTTGCGGTGTTTACTTCACAATCATGCTGCCCAGGATGAAAACTAAATACCAAATTACCTGCTTTTCCTCTTGTTTCCCCCAGATTCTGCTATGTTTTGATATATGATTCCACGATCCAGCAGTTCAAAAAATAAATCCAACGCCACTTTAAAAGAGGAATGTGGATATCATAAATTTTAATGTTTGATATTAATTTCTTCGTTTTTCAATCTTCTAAACCATCCTTTTACCTCCTTCTGGCCTCCCCCCTTCTTTCCCCAATGAAAAGGAAATGACTGGCCTGCAGCATCATAGAGAGGAAGAAATAGCTTTGATTCGGAGTAGTATTTTAATAATGGAAGCATGATTCTTCTTTATTTTATTATTAAGAAGATTAGATTGGGAATTACTATTGTACCATTGTAGATAAATAGCTCCAACTTTATCAGGTTCTTTCAAATTTCATGAACATATATTTTTCTTCCAGTGGAAGGATAACCTATATAAGCAGTCATTCCAAAATCAGGCTCATACCAGTAACTTTAAGAAATACATCAAATGAAAATTTTACTACGTATAGACCATCAAAGGAAATGAAATGAAGACAAAAAACATCTTGAGCTAACTAAAGCATACTAAAGAGGGAAATGTAACAAAAGAGGGAAATGTAACATACTAAAGCATCTTGAGCAAGTTCAACAGAGGGAAATGTAACAAAAGCTTGTCCACGCATTCTCCCTTCCTGGAAACAAAAATCAGATAATCGTCAGCATTTAAGTCATGAATAAACAGCAAATTAGCAATGGAAAGGGAGTACTGATTACTATCTCACCCTTCTACATGAGAATACTATTTTTATGCCACAGGACAATCTATCTCTTGGCAACAAAACATATGGAACTAGAAAGGAGTACGTCAATTTTGTGGTCTGGATCAGGTAAGAAACAGACCAACAAAATGGCACTGGAATGAAGAAAGTGAAACGTATGGTTAAATAGAGAAGTAGATTACCAATTGATTTTCTCATCAAGTTGATGAAATTGGCCCTAAATTAGCTTAGATATAATGAGCTTTTGCAGAGTCAGATAATGTTTAACCAGTCCCCTGACATCATACCCTTCACCAAGCAGGGAGTTTATGCTAATTGTACAAAGTGCATCATGCCTTTTAAGTCACGAATTCAGTTAAATCTTCCTCAGTTGTTCCAAAAGAAATATAGAGACCGGGGTTTGGTTCATTAGGAGTGTCATGATTTTGTCATCAAGAATCAACTAAGGAAAAAGGAGAAACATCAAACGGAAGAAATGTGACGAGAATATCAGTAACACAACCTTTCAAGCCTTGTAACGAAGATATTCAGTGATATCATTGACCGCGCTAGCCTCGGCATGGAAGTTATACTTGAACGTACTGCTCATTACTTCCCTCTAGACCTAGCAGCTATTGAAGCTTCATCTACGAATGGAAATTTTTCCAGATGCTTCACACGAAGAGAGGTCATTCTCCCCTTTGTATAGATAGAAGAACATTATAAACTTTCTTTCAACCTTCCTTTAACTGGGTTTATCACTCTCTTTCACCAAACTATTATCATTCTAACTCAACTCCTGAGTGCTTAGAGTCCCAATTTATTGTCAGCCAATGCCAATAGAGCCTAATGGGTGGCATTAAGTAGTTGACTGGCACTGTAACCAGCTTGCCAGATTGACAGTTTTCTTTGCGTAACAGAAGACTTTACAATTTTAAGAAGCACACATATTCTCAATGGGCCCATGTATGACATATCACATATCAACCAAACCTACAGAGGAGCCATGTGTCACAAAAGTGGAGCCAAGACCTCACATTGGATGATCAGATAAGGTAATTTAGATAGTGTTCCTTATATTTTTCCAGCATAAACTCCCAAAAGCACTTGAGTTATATCAAATAGTGGATATATAAAGCTTCAAGTTTTCACGTATTATTAAAGGTAGAGAAATACAGATGAACCTCACCTGCATTAACTTCACTGCCAGTCTGGATTTAGCTTCATCGATGCTTCCAAATAAAGATCCTGCAAACATTATAGCTGAGAAGAAATATAATGGTTCTAGTGCCAAAACATGAGTTTCTAGTAAGTAACATATCCATTGAAGTAACTTCTTGTTATCCATTTTTTTGAAGGGGAAAAAAAAGTTGTCGAGGTATTGAACTACAAGGAAATCTAAGGAAAAAGTCGGAAAAACGTGTTTTAGCTTGTTAATGGATATGTACATAAATGCTTACCAAATATGAAGTAAAAATCATCAACAATCACTTCTTTTGCTATGTTCTTCAAGTACAAGATAGGAGAAGGATTACCAGCACAATAATTCTGCATAAAGGAAAGCCCATGAGTTAAATATCCATCAGCCCTTTGCTGGGGATGTCCAAGAACCAACTTAATGCTTGGCTTTGCTCATAAAAAAAAATTTTGATTTACTGATAACAAAAAATGAATTAGTATAGCACAATTTATAGACTGGAAAGATACAATCTTAATGAATTCCTAATAGCAACTACTTGTCAGCTTAAGTAAACTAAACAGAAACCCTACTTATCAACAAAAAAGTGACTTCTTCTCACAAAGGAGGCTAAGCAGCTAAAAACTATTAGAAAAAGTCTGCTGTATTTAGGATGAACAATCTCATAAGCTCATAAACAAATTTTCAGCAACCAGTTTAGTTCTATTCCTTTTCCTGCCATTTCCCCAAAATCAAGAACGTTTCATGGAGATGATTAGCCATCTATAGAAGTAAATGTAGAAACAACCAGGCATCTTTTACTTCACTGCCCAGTGTCAGCAGATCTATGGAACATGTTTTTGTCTCTTTTGGAATGGACTGGATAATGCCTGGGAGTTTAAAGGAAGCCTTTTTGATCTGGAACAGCTGGAAAGTTGGTAGAACCATCAAGAAAATCTGGAAACTAATTCCTTTCTGTATTTTTTGGTGTATTTGGAATGAGAAGAATAGGAGATGTTTTGATGGAATAGCAACACCAAACCACTTCCTTAAGGCTAAATGTCTTTTACTTTTGTACCGTTGGAGTACCCTAACACCTGTGAACTCCCTGACAACTTTTTGGACTTTGTTAGCTCTTCAACCCTAGTATAGGACTCATTGTACTGGAGCTAGCAAATCTTTTGTATCTATATTTCTGCATCTTCTTGATGCCATTTATAATATCTCTTACTTTATTAAAAAAAAAAAGATAAACTTTCTGGACATCATTTTTGGTTTCCACATACATAACTTCAAGCAATTCAAAGTAATTAGCCAAGAGCCTCTACACTTAAGAATCTTAAAAGGAATTCAAATAGGAAAGCAGGTGTTTGCTCAAAATGCTCGGATCCCTAATATACATATTTCCCTAGTGACCTAGTTAGTATTTAGAAGTTAAACAGATAGGACTCTTTTTCCATGATTTTTAGTATTTTATTTCTGTTATACCTAATTTTCAAAAGTGGTAGTTCGTACCCTATTTTCATGCAAATTCCACACTTCTATCTTAAATTAATCTATTCATTTGTCTGATATAGACCAACATTCATCAAGTCAATCATCATCAACAAGACTAGGCGGGTAATGATACCCCTAGAGGCATGCTTAAGAAAATTAAAAAATAACTACTCCTTATGTCCCATATTATGTGACATAGTTTGACTGGGTAAGGACGTTAAGAAAGACTTTTGAACCTTGTGGTCAGAAGCAAGCTATAGATATATGTGTGGCGGTAGATCATCTCAAAAAGTATAAAATGGGAAGTTAAATTGTTTCTAAATATAAAAAGGCGTCATTCTTTAAAAAGGAAAGTGCGCTACCTAAATGGAACAAAGGGAGTATAATGTATTAGAAATATTAATGAGATATGATATGCTGGTATTATCTTAGTGTGCCGTCCCCTAGGCCTGTTGCCCCTCTAATGATGCAGTCCAAGAAGAACAGCTGAAGAAACTATATGTAATGAAAGCATAATTTAAGAAGAATGGTTGATTCTTGAATACAAACAAAAAGGGAGTTACTGTCTGATGTCGGATTATTTTATCATAGTTGTTGGTTTCTGAAAACTTTTGCTGCAAGGTGTTATATGATTCACAGTTCACATACTAGACCTTATCAAATAAAAAAAATAAAAAGATTCACAGTCCACATAACTCACAAAATCATTTAGAAGAGCCTGAATTGATAAACCTCATTTAATTTCCCTTAGGTGCCAATTATGTTTTGGTGACTTGAATTTACTGAAATAAACAACCAGAAGAATTCATTTCCTAGTTGTTGGTTTATTAATCCTTCATGGCGAAAAAGAAATCCTTCATGGGGTAGGATTGGATAGATTCTTTTCTTAACTGAGAAATCCCTGAAGGCCACTAGCGCATGGTTCGAAAGTCGTTGATAATGGGCTCGGCTGTTATGCTCAACTTAATTACCAAGCTATTGTTTGTGGCAGGTTTAAACCCGTGACATGCGCTTAATTCACACATCATATTATGCGCTCTTACCACAAGGCAAAATCCTGGGGGCAGTGGTGAAGCCGGAAATTTTTTCAAGGGTGTTCAAACTTGAAAGAAGTGAAAAAATTCTCCGACAAAGAGTGTTCAATAGATGTTATATACCTATAAAACCAAATATTTTACCTATATACTCAGTGCTATTTTCCGACGAAGGGTGGTCCTTTCATACATATGGCTTCGCCCAGGCATAGGGGCAATTAGATTTTTGATGAAAAAATGTTTCAATTTATGAGAACGTATTGGAGTGGACGCGAAATTTAAGAAAAGGAGGAAGACTTTTGGAATTTGTGATCTTAAACATACCATAACATTTGAGTGGTTAGAAGACTTTTGAAATTTTATGGTCTTAGACGTGCCATAACATTGCTATAAAAGGTTCTCATTAAGATAAAATAGAAAGTTCAAACTAAATTGTTTCCAAAATTAAAAAGGAGTCATTCGTTTTTTAAACGGACTAAAGAGGAAATATGTTCCCATAAATTGAAATGGAAGGAGTAATAGATTTCATTAAAGGGTACTATGAATTACCAGAAAAAGTAAAATCTAGGAAGTTTTGTTGTATATGTTGAAGGAATGCAAAAGATCTAACATAGAGTTCATATCCGATACAATGTTTTTCCTATACCATAAGTATAGACTCTTCAAACATCTAGATTTAACATTAACTATGTTTTCTCTACTATAATTAAAACATATGTTATTCCTTGTTATTTCTCTCCTGCCAGATATTCCAGAAAAAGTTGCAGTGGTACTTTCCTCCAGAAAGTCTTCATTGTAAAATTGCTCCAAAGTCTTAAAGATATCCTCTCTCAAGACGTATCAACAGTTATGGAAGAAGGCCATATTGAAATCATCAGGCCCAGGTGCTTTGTCACCATCGAACATCTTGATCACAGCATCAAGTTCCTCCAAGGTGACTGCCCTTTGCAGCCATTTACTATCTTCTATGGATAAGGTTCCAAGGATCGTCCTATCCCTAAAGGAACTAAGGCCTCATTTCTTTGCACTAAATGGAGGTCTGAATCTTAATCATTCAGATCTCACACATGTGTTTGTTTTTTAAGTCTCATTCAGATCTTGATCATTAAGTGTGTTTGTTTTTTTAATTTCACAACCACTTAATGGGTCTGAATAGGTATGAACGATTAAGATCTATAACAGAGACTTAATTTCATTAAGATGTTACTATCCACATTTACAATTAATTAACGCCACTGCCCACCATTATCAACTATCACCATGCACCACCTACCACCTCCATACTCAATCACCACCACTGACCACCACCATCCTCAAGTATAATCGCCACCGCCATCATTATTGACTACCACCACTCGCCACCTCACCATTATTGACTACCACCACGTCTCACCAACCCCACAATTATTAACTACCACCGCCACTACCACCATCATCCTCAACCACAACCATCCACCTATGACCGACCCACCTCAACTACCACCACCATTATTAACCATAACAACTAGTACCCACCATTATGAACTACCACCACTTTCCTCAACCACCACCACCACCACCACCACCACCATCCACCATTATCAACTACCACCATCCACCATTATCAACCATAATCTCCACTACCAATCACTACTAGCTACTACCTCGAACCACCACTATCAACCAAAACCACTACCAACCAGCAGCTCTAGTAATCCACAAATACCACCGTTAGCCATCACCGCTATCAACTACCATATATTTATTTAAAAAAATATTTTGTTGTGATAAAATATTAAGTAAATTAGTTTTTTATTTAAATTTTAAATTCATCAATTCTTAAATAAAGATAAATTTTATTAATTCAGATGTTGAAAAAACAGTCTTAATTATTCAGTATTCAGATCTTAATACACATCTTACAGATTCATACATCTTAGTCTTAATACACATCTTGATATTCAAATGTGCATTTAGACGTCTTAATCTTTTTTTTTTAAAAAATGAGGCCTAAGTCATTCCATTACAAGACCTTGCCCTAGATCCACTTCCTTTAGCTCTTAATAAATTGACTAATGAATATCATAAGAAACATGAACAACCTAGTAACAAGACCACAGCTAAAACTTAAAAGACTAACAGCAAATCCAATCTGCGCACAAGCGGTTCATGGGCAAAAGTAAAGTGCCCAAACTTCCAGTACCTTAAACATAGGAAGCGACAGAATCTCTTCTGGGGGCAATCTTCCACTTTTTAATTCTTCAAGGGTCGCAAAAGGTTTATTATCATTCTCTTTATCTTCCACTGGCAATGATATTTCCCTCATGTCACCCTTCTCTTCATTCTGTACCTGCTTAGGTGCTACTTTAATCTGCAAGCACAGCGATCAACAACATAGTATCACAAACTTCAATGAAGACAAAGGGGGGGGGGGGGCTTTTGAAGATGCAAGGCTATCACCTGAATTATTGGGTTCTTTTTCTTAACTACTGGCATCTCTTTAGGAACCAAGGCAGCAGCTCTCAATCCAACAGCTTCATGAGCAACATCCTTGTCAAGTGCAGGGCCTAAGATAGCTTCACGCCTGGCACGCTTTTGTTTAGGCCCGCCAACATTACTCTAATAGCAAAAGGAAATAGTTTTGGGTGAAAAATGAAAACACAGGGAACATAAAGATAGAAACTTTAATCCTGAGATACACTGCATAGATCATTAAAATTTAAGTCAGCTCCCCAGTATTGTTGAGGTTTTATACATTATATTTAAAGTCCCAGTTAACTGCATTTATCAAACTCAATTCAAGAGTAAACGGATGCCAAACGGCATAGGAAATATTACCTCATCTGAAGACTCCATTTCTGATTCACTACTTGATAAATTTTCCATTCTACTCTCAGAAACTGTTGGAGGAGGTGGAGGAGGGGGTGGAGGTGGAACAGATAGGGATGTTGGTAGAGGTGGAGTCGGCAGAGCCATCCGAAATGGAGCTGGAATATTCATCTTGTTCATCAAGTGTAAGACCTATACCATGCCACAGTATAGGTATAAAAAGATGTTAGATAGACAAAGACAACACAGACGAATAGCAAGGGAACGAGAAATATGAATTTGAGAAGCAGAATGGAAATAGTATAGATAACCTGTGTGTAGAACCGAGGAACAGCAATGAGAGCATTTACAATATTTGTAAGTATATGCCCATCGGGTGGGGGGTAAACATATCTGAATCACAAGCAGGATAGTCAGCATTATGAAGAATAAGCAGAAGCTGGTACTGTTTATGAGTACATATAAAACTATATAAAGAACTACAAGTGCTAGATCAAGCAGAATGACTGTCTAAATCCTCTTAATACTTTAGCTTCTTCTTCTCTAGTTTTCTATGCATATACCAAACAGACCAAGAATAGAGTCTATAATTTACAAGTCAAACAAAGCTGACATGCCTACAGACATGAGAAATATCTGGCATACAGGGATGATGCAAATCAGCTGTGATGTAAAGGAAAATCATGAGAAATGTTGTAATGTTTAGGTCAGGGGATGTTCAGGACAAAGAGAATGAGGAGCTACTTCTAGCCACTTATCCACCAAATCTGGATAGAAATTTAAAAAGATGGTTAAAAAAATCATGAAGTAGCTGAAAACATACTCGAGGTGAGGAGGAAATGGATAATCCACCCCAAGTCTTTCAGCAATGGGTTCGCTGCCAGGATAAGGACCTCTTCTAGATCCTCCACCAAATTCTTTAGCAGTAGCATCGTTGATCAAAGAGACAGAGTCTTCTACAATCCGAGGTTCACTTTGTCGATATTTATCTCTCTCTATGCTTTTATTAGCTCGTTCAACTGCTAATGTTTTACCAATAAACCGTACTCTAACAACCACAAAACTTGGCAATCAGTCTTGCTTAATCTCCAAAGATAAATAAAAATAAAGAGGAGCTCATTTGAATATATTTTATCTAAGATGATCACAAACAGGATACTCAGAAGATTCTAAAGAAAAATACCCATTCAAATGCTGTTGCGCTTGATGTGCCAGACTTTCATCCTTGAAATCCACAAACACGCAATTCCTCACTCTGTCCAGGAAAACATAAGATCCAGATTCAAACCTATTTAGGTTGAAATCATAAAATATGTGATACTAGAGCTCAAGACTCGAGTAGCACTCATTTCATTTTTTTAACAGGTAAATAAGAACTACTAATAAGCAGTCAAGCACAAAGTTAGAGCTTAAACATTATAAATAGGGTGTTTGGATTGGCTTATTTTCCGATATTTTCTTTCATTGTTGATCACCTTAATATCTTGTTGTTTTTATTCTGCTTTTATATGGCTTTTTGGTGTTGTCCCTTCTTGTCTATATTTTCATTAATATGGTGCTTATGCTTTCCTGAGCCGAGGGTCTATTGGAAACAGCCTCTCTATCCTCACAAGGTAGGGGTAAGGTCTGCGTACACACTACTCTCCCCAGACCCCACGGTGTGAGATAATACTGGGTATGTTGTTGTTGGATTGGCTTATTTTAAGTGCTAATTGGCTTTTAAGCACTTCTCTAGCTTTTGTGGTGTTTGGCAATGATTAAAAGTGCTTAAAAGCACTTACTTTTAGACATGAAAAGTACAAAAATAAGCCAAAAGCCAAAAGTTGGGTATTACCAACTTATGGCTTTTAGCTTATAAGTTGATTTTTAAAAGTCAATCAAAACACCCTCAAAGTCAGGAACCCCCTATACAGTAGCATTAACTTCATATCTAAGATGGCTAAAGAGGATTTTTGAAGAGTGAGGTGTTACCTAAAAAATTTTGAGCGTCAATTAATGCTAATCAAGTTGCTGGCGTAACTGGTAAAGTTGCTGTCATGTGACCAGGAGGTCACGCGTTCGAGCCCTGAAAGCAGCCTCTTGCAGTAATGCAGGGTAAGGCTGCGTACGATAGACCCTTGTGGTCCGGACCTTCCCCGGACCCCACGCATAGCGGGAGCTTAGTGCACCGGGCTGTCCTTTTTTTAATTAATGCTAATCAAGGAATTTTCCCCATGACTTGCACAAAAACTGCTGGGGATAATCCTGAGCTTTATGAGACAAGAGCCTTCCATATATGCCTCAGGTTTGTTTGGCGAACGCCTTGCAATGAGGCAAGTTCCTAAAAAGTCTTTTTAAGGACTAATCACAAGCACATTGATATATACAGAAATGTATGTCTGGATCAGACACTCAAGCTCTTGCGAGTCGGAACAAAGTTTATTTTACCGGGACGGCAGGACCTTTACCCTACGGCACTGGAAATTTCAACCAAAGACGCAGTATCAAGATCAAAAAGAGCAGGGCCTGTGCACACAAAGAATTTATTTAACAGGTAGCACTCCAAAATATAGATTCCGCTCAAGAGATATATACATGATAAAATAATTCGCAGCTCCCACAGCAATGTACAGGGATGAAGAAAATCTACTGTTTGGTTATCCTTCAGCAGGGAAAAGCAAAATATGCTAGTCTAAGCTTTTAAGATGTAGAATTAACCATATACAGTTTGACACTGTTACATATCCGTTTAAAGGTCATTACTACCCAATGTCTAGCAACATCAATCCCGAGTATAATTTGTGCATTGGTAAACTCAAGACATAAAATTGGAAAATTCATGTAAAGTAATGGATTGCGAGATCAGGTAAGCTAACTATTCTTCTTCTTCTTTTTTTTGGTAACCGCAGTGTCCACCCAGCTTGCGCGCACCTCAACTAATTCCACGGGATACCTGCCACCTCCTACCGGCAACACTTACCAGGTAATTCTGCCACCAAGGCTTAGACAGATGGGAAGAAATAACCTAGTATTTTTTGTCTCAGCTGGGGTTTGAACCTGAGACCTCATGGTTCTCCACCCACTTCATTGACCACTTTGCTACACCCTTGGGTGCGTAAGCTAACTATTCTTTGGTAAGTAATATTAAAGACAAGAGTATCTAAACAATTTGAGTATAAGATGACAACTAGTTGATTCGCTATAAAGAAAAAAGAAGTTGACAAGCACCAAAAAGAGGGATCAGAAACACATCATCGCTTCAGGAAGCATCACAATCTCATTAAATCACCTAAAATCTACTTTTCAGAAAGGCAATACAAGTCAGGAAACATTAGTATAGAAGAAGTTCCTTGAAGCCAGTTTTCCAAAACAATATGTTGCTGTGAGAACATACTTTTTCTAGTTGTATTAACTTTAGAAGTAACAACGAAAGTCAATTCTTTATCGAGCCTAGTGCCGCTAATTCATACCCTCACGCAAAAGAACAGCTTGCCATCATTTTGGATTGGGGAGAGTAATAGGAAATTCGATTAGGAAAAAGCAGCTTTCACTGATAAAAAGAGGCCTTAGTCTAGTGGTTAATGTTGAGGTGCTTAAGACTGCAAGCCTCAAGCTTAAAACCCATCTCGGTGTGAATATGAATCCAACTCATATTATGCTCATTCTACTAGTTTTTCTAGAAGGAGCCGATTTCCTCCGGTCAATGGTGCGTAAATACAGTAGACATATTCCCGTTGATTTTTAAATAATACAACTTACACCAAACAAATGAGCACATAAACAGTTTTAAGAACATAAGAAAGCAAACCTTCTATACTGCGTATTAGAAAAAACAAAACAAAAAGTCGCAGTGAAATTGATAATTAAGGAATCATTCTTTGGAATACCTGCCACTAGTACAAGGACGAATAGAAGATGCGCCGTAATTGGAGAGCAATCTTGAAAGGGTTTCATGAGGAACTGCTTCTGGAAGATGCCGAATCAACAGCGTACACTCTTTAGCTTCCTCCCTCGGCAAATGATGAAGAGGAATCCCAGTCATGTAAGCATCCATTACAGTTCCTTGTACTCACAGAAGTTCTACGCTCAACAAAAATGACAGTCAAATTTTGGTTGACAAATCACAAAATTGTCAAATTTGGGTTGACAAATCACAAAAACTTCAAAATGCATTGAGGCAGCGAAGGTATTTGGATGGCAATGGGGCAGTGCGTGTGATGCGGGCGGGTCGAAATCAAAGCCCATGTGAAGATCCACTTTTTTAGTTAGACTATTTTGATTACATTATAAATTAACCAAGACTCACAGGAAATAATATAAAAAGGACCAAAATACATTTTCTTCTTCAATATTAGTACATTTTACCTTTCTTTTTTTTGGAAAGAAATTCTTCTTTTTTTTTGATACTTTAGCCAAAAACAAATGGAGATACTTTCATATAAATCAATGAAATTCATTTTTCGCTCCATCGCATAAATCTATATCTATATATAAAGAATAAAGTTTGTAATGTGGTTAAGCCAAGGTAAATTATTAATAAGCCACTTAGCAATTTTAAGAAGAGTTTATGGAGAGATATTCTAGTAAGGAAATATAAAATCGGCTGAATTATATATGGAATCCCATTTACTAAAACTAAATTTAGTTATATCCCATTTTCACGACCAATATAATTTAACTTAGGAACTTTTCAATGTTTTATTCACTCGATCTATACAAGTGGGTAATGAGAATTGTAGTTTAGCACCTCATATTCAATCATAACTCAGTCACGACTCACGAGAAGTCACATTCAAGGCCTTATTTACCACTGAAATATAGATTTGTCAAGAAAGTACTCAAGACACAAAAGAGGAATAGATTTTTCTACTACAAGATAATTCCACCACTCCCTCTTTAATCATGAAGTTCAAATGATGTTATTGGGTGTATTTGAGTACGAAAAAGGAATTGGAACTTAGTATTTATGTAACCCCAAAATAGTGTTCTTTATTAAGGAGCTGAAGGAAGAAGAAGAAGAAAGATAGAACAATAACTTGGGATTGAGAATTGAGTTAATTACTAACTTCAATAATTCCATTGAGTTGATTTGTAATTTGTAATGGCATATTGGACTACCCAAATCATGGGGTAATCTGGAAAAAAGTTATTCGATGGCTTGATGCCGATTATGACCCCAAAATTGAGTCACGATAAACTTTTTGAACTTGAGTTGATAAAGTTTAATTGTAAATATTATAAATTGATATTGTTGTAGGAGTTGAACTTGTTGGAAAATTTTGAAGTAGTTCAGAAAGGTAAGACGAGGCTTAAGATTTTATCGACGAATTCCAAAAATTTTAAAGATTGCTAATGTTAATTTAAATGTTGGTTTGGATTCGTTGGAGTGATCCAACCTTACTATCCATATTATTAACATTATATCTTTTAGTATTGGATGGTGATAACTTGTATTGTTTGTCATTTTATGACTTTTATTGAATGATATCACTTCAAATCATATTTTTTCTTTGAACATGGATTAAATGGTTATAGCAAATGTTGAAACTCGTTATCTTTTAGTTTTAAATTTTCAAAGTTGTCGATTTATCGAATATTTATAGGATTTACGGGTCACATAAGTTAAAGAAAAATATCTAGGGAGGACCATAGTTAATATTGCTTATGTGTGCCATATAGTGTTCATAGAGACACCTTACCGAGCTAGCACTATCGTAAAATCCTATAGGAATGGGTGATGCGGCCTCGTGACCGGGCGATGGTTACTATCATCAATATCCTTCGTGTGATACACCTAGGTTGACCAGGGGATGGTCAACATACAATCATTGATTATTGTTACAGTTATAACTATTGGAACTCCTCGTCGAAAGATTTATAGTTTATCGAAATGGTTACAGTTTATCGAAATGTATTTGGTTTTTAGAAATAATTTAAAATTTTAAAATGCTTTAGAGGTTACATGAAAATACTTCTAATGCTTATTGTTTTTTTTGAAATGTCATATTTATTGTACTTCATTTACGTCACGGCCGAATTTCTAGCATATCGTGATGGTGTCTATTGATGGTACTAGGCAAGTCAACCTTTTCAAAACACTTCCAATATTGTAAAAGAAGATAAATCAAAGGTCCGTAATTAAAGCAGAGTTTCGAAAACATGGTTTAAACTCAAAATACAAGTGCGGAAAGATAGCCCAACATCGGGGTGTCACTAAGTCATGAGCTTCTAAACATAATTGGTCTGCAAAAAACACGACTATCACAATCTGAAACCAAATACAACGAAAAGGAGAGATAAAGAAGAAGAAGAAAGCAAGGTCTGCGAATGCCAAGCAACTATCTCGCTATCTCCAATGATCACCTGCGAGAAACCATCAACACCTTTTGCGTCCAGAAACTTCTGGATCTGCACATGAAGTGTAGTGTGTAGCGTGAGTACAACCAACTCAATAAGTAATAGAAACAAATAAGGAACTGAAAGATAGTGACGAGCTACACAATTATAATGCATTTTCAGTAGTCTCAGCAAGGAAAATAGACATGCTTCCCAGATCCGGTAAAATTAAGTCAAATCAATTTGTTTAATTCAAGTTCAAGTAAAAAACGGATAGCACATCTTTCAGAAATTTTTCAAAATAATGATATCGGGCAACTGCGAGCATTAACAATGAAATCATATATAGCCTCTCAGGGCAACCAGCACTCAGTCCTCCCATTCACTCCAACCTCACAATCACTCATTCCTCAAAATCATTTATTTCTCACAATCACTCAGCACTCGGCACAGGCACTCAGTAGGTACCTGCGCTCACTGGGGCATGTACAGACTCCGGAGGGGCTCCTTCAGCCCAAGCGCTATATCAGGCCAATCATGGCATAAATTAGTGAAACATGTTGCGGCGCGCAGCTCGATCCTATAAATATCCTCACAATCAGGACATCAGCCTCACTCGGTCATTAATCTCTTTAGTCTCTCAGGCTCTCGAAAATCAGGAAAATCAGCCCAAACAGCAATAACATGATATATCAAGAAGAATAACATAGACTGAGATATGATATGCGGGTAAAAACTACAACTGAGTACAAATAGCATTTAACAGGCAATTAACATGTAAGGCGACCTCCGTGGGACCCAACAGCACCAACACATAGCCTAAATATGGTTTCGAACATAATTTACAGTCAAACTTCTATAATACATAGAGAGCATATAGCTAACAGCAAGATATTCAACTTTACAATTTCACGGGATGGACCAAGTCACAATCCCCTCTGTGCACGCCCACACGCCCGTCACCTAGCATGTGCATCACCTCCAAAGTAATCACATGACACCAAAATTCGGGGTTTCATACCCTCGGGACCAGATTTATAACTTTTACTTACCTATATCCGAGCAAGACGCTACTCCAAAATGCCTTTGCCTCGCGAGTCAGCCTCCAAATGTCATGATTCTAACCACAAACAGTACAATACAATTAATACGGGCTAAAAGAATCAATTCCACAAGAAAAATTAGAGATTATAGCCCAAAATCCGAAATCGCTCAAAGCCGGCCCCCGAGGCCATGTCTCGAAATCCGACAAAAGTCACAAAATCCGAAAGCCCATTCACCCACGAGTCTAATCATACCAAATTTATCAAAATCCGACACCATTTGGTAATCCAAATCCCCAAAATTCACTCTCCAAGGGAATCAAACGTAACTTTTCACAAAAGATATTTCTATATTTTTTTTATTTTTAATAAGACAATATGGGTTTTAAATCTATGACCGGTTGTAAATCTAGAATTAAAAAGTAAGAAAAATCGAAGACGTCTGTTTTATCGACTTTAATTATAGTTTTTACTTGGTCTTTCTCTAGTTTTTTATTTTTACTAAAATAGAATTAATTAATTATAATTCTATGACAAAGAAAAATGCAAACCTACAACAAGTAATAACTACCTTTACTAATTCTCTGTGGATTGTTTTCTTTTTCTGTAATAATTATCTTTTGTAAATTATTACATTACATAATTCAAACAAAAATGGAATTTGCACAAACATATAAGAAAGGATTTAATATATAAAATTTAGTTAATTTAAAAACCCTAAATATTAGGAGAAAATTTAAATTCTCAAAACGAGAGAGTTCTATCTAATGATAAAAGACATCTAATATCAATTAAATTGATAGTTTGTTAACTATCAATCCTTGTTTGAATTAAAAATTGATAAGTTAATACCTATTTTTGTGTCTTAGTTTAATTAATAACAAACACTGGATTGTTCGTACTTAATTATGAACCATAAATACTGGATGTGAAATATATACTATGAAATATGCTGATTTTGAAGTTTTAATATGTAGGACTTCTAGTTCAAATAAGCAAAAATTGTTAACCAAAATTTTACCTGAAATTAAAGTTCTAAATATTAAGGAAATGATTGAATAATTATTTTTAAATATTAGGAAATTAGGATCTATATGTACATGCTTTGCGCGTGTACCCTATATTAATGAGAATAAAAAAATTATAGAACAAATATAGATAATATCCAAAAGATTTATTTGCGTTACAAAATATAAATTAGTAAAAATAGCGAGTTCCAAATATATGTTCTATTTTTTGCGTGTAAAGTAAAAAGATCGATATTTCACTTTTGAATTTATGTGTTTGCTTAATTATTAGTCTAATTAAATTTTACCAATCGCTTCTCTTTCTATAACTAATTTCGCTAAAAAAAAAATTAAAGTCAATGCTCTTCTTATGAAAGCAAATTTTGCATACCTTAAGAGTTGTATCAGCTTGAAAAAATAATTTTACTTATACGATGAATTTGGAAAAGAATTGAATTAGATTCTTTTGTTGATTAGTTATTTCAAACCTTAATCATTTATTCTCAACATAGTATGTCGAATAGTTAGTTTTATTGACTTTTGCCAACCACCCCTCTCCCTCTCTCTCTCTCCCTCTCTCCCTCTCCCTCTCTCTCTTATATAATTTAAATATTTTAATTTCTTATTTGTTCAAATTATTGTCTGTAATTTTTGAACGTATTAAAACTTATAATATGAAAATATGTCATATATAGTTTAATACATATTGTTTTAAAGTGATAAAGTTCCAACTTCCAACCATAAAGTAACGTTGATTAATTAGGTAAAAGTAGAAATAACTATTTTAAATTCGTCAATCAATAATAATGTGGTTTAAGATGAATAAAGGAAGTAGATTTTTAACTACAAAGCACATAAAATAAGATTTA